GAACCCGCAGGCTCAGGCAATCCACTCACCTCAGCCTCCCAAAGGCGCGGGATTACAGGCTGAGCCACCAAGCCTGGCTCAAGGGTCCTATTTTTTAAGATTCCCCTCTCCCTCCCATCTGTATCATTTCCTGCCTGTAACGTAATGACAGTAGCCTTGCTGTATTCTTTAGCACATTCAGATGCCTTCTTAACCTACACTTGAATGATAAGTAGACTATCCGGGTGGCCTGGCTAGATAAATATTTGCATTGTTCTTTCTTGATTGGAATTAGATTGCTTTTTTTTTGAGTGGGCTCTAGATCCAGTATTCTGTAATTCTGTACTTCTGACCTATAACGTCTTTGTATCTGACTCAGGACATTTATATAATGATTCCCAGGGCATAGGTATACACAACTTTTTTAGGAAAAAAAAAAAAGTTCCTTTGTGTTTGGAACAGAAATAACATGCGCTTTTAAATTGAATAAAACTGGGCAGCCCCTTCAGGTCCCCTCCCACTGTGGGAGTTTTTCTGTTCTCTCAATAAATCTTGCTTTCTAAAAAAAAAAATAAATAAATTGGATAAAACCTAAGAGTGCATATTATTACTGCCTCGGCCTTGTGGTGAGCCTGGACACTGGTACTTGGATTTCCTGTGCCTCTGCTCAAGCAGTGAGAAGAGGCTCCAGGAGATGCCACCGTGCCCAGCACTGTCAGGGGGTGGGTATTTATACTATGTAACATGCAGTGTCTATCAGGTCCTTTAAAGTAATGACAGCAAATGACATAGGACCGTGGGCTGTGAAGGACGTGAAGTATGGGAATGATCATCCAGGTCACAGCCATTCACACTTTAATTTGAGCAGAAGCACCCTTTTTCAAATGGACTTCAAGTAGAACCTCTCTGGTTAAAGTTGGAGCCACATACCTTGGTGAACGTTTCCTCTTCCTCACAGTAAACCCTGAGGGACTTCTGCAGAGACCCAGGGTTCAGAGACCCAGGGTTCCTCAGAATTCAGTTTGAAAACCACTAATCTAGCTCAAGCTTCTCATTTAAAAAGGCTAATTGAATTGTCACCTTACTGGAGCCAGGATTGGGCCTTTGTTTTTGTTGTTACTGTTTTTACAAATCAACAAATAGTTTCTTCTCCTTTTCCTTCTCTTTCCCCACATCTGAGCCCCTTTTTTTGTGCCAGTGTTACTCCACATCTCCTGATTCCCCCTTCCCTTGAAAACTCCACTCCAGAGTTGCAGGGGCTGATCCTCCCATTGTCTCCCATGGCTGAAGCTGTGGTCCCCGGCTTTTGACCTCGGAACCTCAGGAGCCCTGCCAGCCTGTCCCCAGCCCTTTTCAGAAGCAGGCTCCTTCTGCGTTGTGGTTCTGTGCCCTGCCTCCTTCCTTCCCCCTCCCTCCCTTTTGTCCACTTAAAATGTATCTTTGCCCTGCTGTGTGTGTGGCACTTGCTATACCCAGTACCTGATGGTGACTGAGGCAGACAGGGTCCGGGGGACAGCAGAGCGCATAACCGGGCACCTCTTCTCCCAAGATTGCTTCTAGTGCCTTAAAATTCAGGCCAGGTAGAGCCCTAGACTTTCTTTCCCAGAAAGAGAGTTCAGACGAGACCCTGAGAAGGAAAATGCCCCTGCAGAGGTCACAAGAAGCTGCCCGGAGCAGCTGTGGACCTAAGTCTTGGGAAGGCCCTATCTCATCTTTTTGGTCCCGTGCCAGAGTCACGTGGATAGAGCATAGGGATCTTATGAAGAGAGTGGCTTTCAGAGAGGCTGTTCCGTGAGCGGTGCTGGCTGTGGAGTGTGGCCGCAGGTGGCTTTTGCCATCTTGGCAGTAGAGACGCATGGAGTTTCAGCCACCTCCATGCAAGGCTGTTTCCCTGGGGTCGGCTGCCATGGTGTCAGCAGGGTGGGGGCTGGGCTGCGATTTGACAGACCCTTTTTGGTACAGTAAGCACTTGAAGAGCACGCTCCATTTGGCAAAAGTAGGGGAGCTGGGTCACGTTTTCTTTTAACCTTTGAATTCATCCCTGTTGCTTCCATTCAGTTTATTTGTATTGAGCGACCCCTTGGCTCGATTGATTCCAGTTTACCCTTCCGTGCGGGTTGCCTTTGCTCTGAGATTTCTCTCATTTGTGATGCACACTCTACCATTAGAGAAAGTCAGGTAAGAGTCTGTTCCAAAGGTGTCTGTACTACTGACAGTATTAAATGGGGCTCTGATGTGTAGGGAGACAGAAATGAAATGTGGGTTCTCACACCAGGGACAGGAGGGAAGTATCGCCAAGACCCTGAGCATGCCCATGGCTCCCCTGCCTGTGTCTTCCTGGCCAGGCTCTCGCCACACGCCCGCTTCCACGCTGTCCGGGAGAAACAGGCTTCTGCCCATCCCACAGTGGGGATGAAGCACAGCTGTCCTGTGAGCCACCCCTGTCTTAGGTTGCTCTTCCTCCATGTTCACCAACTGGTGTCTCACTCCTTCCTTCTTTTCTGTTTTGATCGCCCAAGCTCTTTGATGTGAGGGGACCGAATACAGTGCTTTCTGCCATGTCTATTTCTTGCCCTGAATTTTGTTGTGTAGCTACTCTGCTAATTAACAGTAATCGTTGCCGGGCTCTGTGGCTCAGCCTGTAATCCTGTGCCTTGGGAGGCTGAGGTGAGTGGATTGCCTGAGCCCGCGGGTTCGAGACCCGCCTGGGCAACTTG